TGAAAAACACCTTCTGATGTAACAACAGTTATTCCTTCACTTTCGAGTAATTTTAAAATATTGAGCAATGGTCTAAAGGCTGCTTTGTTTCCAACACATCGGTCAGTACTATGAAATAAGAGAGCTAAAAACTTATTCTCTAGGGCACCCTGAAACTCAGGTGGAAGACAAGAAATTTCAAAGTAGGCAGCACCTAACTTGTGAACACCTGCATGACTACCTAGCACATTATCTGGTTCATAGTCATCAAAGCTAAGGGTTAGTGGAAGAACAATCTTAGTTCCAAACAAAGGTTTGATCTTTTTCTTCCACAAATCACCCTGCACAATATTTTCTAAAACATAATTATCACATGACAATTTATCCATATATGACAAAATCTGAGATAAGACTCCATCGATTTCCAGAAAGCCTTTCAAAACTAAATCAACAGGAACAAACTGTCCAGTCAACATTTCAGGTGTAATAACAACATGATCAACAATGCTATCAGGATTTGAAATTTCACGTTCATTTGAGAATGTGTTGATATCATAAGGCTTTGGAGCAATGTAGGCACCACAATCAGTGAAAGCCTTTATCCTTTTATGCTCACTATCCACAAAATCAAAGACAGACATAAATGAGTCAAACATTTTAAGTATTTCCACCATCTCATTAGAGTTACAATTAATTAAGGAATCCTGAACCTTCTTTTTTAATGTACTCATACCTTCAGAAATAAATTTCTTGTGACCATCAATAATAGTTTGAACAAAGGAACGAGTCACAGAGTCATGTTGATAAAGACCAGCAACATATATGAGTGCAGATTTAGTAAGCTGAGCTTGAAATTTCTCTACAGTTAAAGCAGTACTGAACACATCAGGAGAGGTATCTTGACTTTCAGGAAAAATGAATGGAACTCTAGCATCATCATCATTTGTGACAGTACTGGATTTGGAAATATAATAGCAGCAGTGACAGAGGGATTACAAACAGAACAAGACTGAGTGGCCTGTACTTCTTTCTGCTTATTATCTAGATGGTCTTTAAATGTTAGTCTTGAAGTAAACACACGAATGCAGTTACTTTGCCTGCACTCAAAGGCATCTAAAGCAGGATGGGAAACCTTGAGATGACTTATCAATAAGTCAGAAGTTTCACACTTACTACTACACACACAACAGTTAAACATTTTGTGACAACAGTAATGTTGGATTTCTTAGGAATCTTGATGTCAAAAAAGTACCTTCGTGCAAACTGGCAGAGGTGCTCACTCTCTGATAGATAGCCACAATGAAGAGAAAAAAATGTCTTGAAACACAAGTCTAAAGCCTCTTTTATAGGCTTAACTTTGTACAGGTGAGAGTCCAAATACACATAGATGAAACTGGGTCGTTCACCAACAACAGAAATAAAAGGTTGGAGAGTGCTTGTCCTACCATCGGCCAGCCTGCCAAATTCGTTGGTACCTCGTTACCGAGCTACCAAGATGTAATGGGTCATTATCTCATCGTTCGTCTTGACATATAGCAAAAAACAGACTGTAGACGGGAGCCAACTATTCATGAAATCTCTGAAGAAGTTGCTGAACACATTAGCAAAACCTAGGTGAAGGCATCTGTTCCACCAATGCCTCTGAAAAGCATACAAAACAAAATAATTAGGTTCCATAAGAAATACATTGACTACAAACAAAAAGTGGGTTGGTATAAAGAAATATGAGGGAAAACTCTTACACTTCCAAAATGAATGCCGGGAACTTTTTGAAGCTGGTGCTTGCAGGTGTGTAGACGAAGCACGGGGTGAATGTCCAGCTGAACACATAACTGCTTCTAGAGAACGCGACTTCATTGCAGACCAAAGGACGTCTCGGAAAATGTATATTGGCAATCTTGACGTCAAGGTTACAAAAATGCTTGAAAGGAGAGAAAGCCGGGTTGAGAGGAAGGCTACATTTATCAATGACAGCAAGTCGAAAAAGTATTGCCCCACACTTTCCACGGTGCCGGAAGAATTTGAATATGAGGGCACAGAATCCGTTGACACACACACAGACCCAGATTTTCAATTATCAGAACACTCTCGCTTTCTACCACGCCGCTCAACTCCTAATAAATGGCAAGGTACTTTCTAGGCGACGGCAAAGATAGCCGACAGATTTTCTCTTTCGGACAAAGCTTTGGCAGCTGTTGCAACGGCTCTTGAGGACAAGAATCTTGTTACACCCCTTGATAAATCTCTTGTTATCGACAAACACAAGGCTCGTCGCGACAGGAGTAAAATAAGAAAACTGACCCAGAAACAGTCTTCAAAGACATCTCCTATTCTAGGATTAAATTTTGACGGTAAAACAGACAGTACAAGAGTAAATGAAAAGAAAGGACATACTTACCATCAAGTAACAACTGCAGAGGAACTCATTTCCCTCGTAGAAGAGCCTGGGGGCGAGCACCTTGGCCACCACACTTCAGGAAAAAGTGCACAGAGTTCTTCGGCGTCCATTGTGCAGTTCTGTAAAGAAAAAACATAAATCTGGATCAGTTAGAAGTCGTGGGGTGTGATGGCACAGTCACAAACACAGGTCACATTGGTGGGATCGTAATGCTACTAGAAAAAGAGCTTGGTAGGAGTCTTCAGTGGCAATTTTGCTTACTCAACTCTTAAGGAACTGCCTCTCAGACATTAAATTACCGAACAAGATGGGGCCACATATAGCCAAAAATGTTTTTCTGGGCAAATTGGTTCAAAACTAAAGAGCTGCGAAAGTATGCCTGTAGTCAAGTTTGCTGCTATTGAACCTTAACTTCTTACGATTGATAGACACCTGCTGAGTACTGACCAGTGATATTTATACGATATGTGTCAAGCAGTCTCTTCTGGCGAAGTATCGCCCGCTCTGGCAAACATGAAACCAGGACCTTTAAATCATGCTCGTTGGTTGACTGCAGCGTGTCGGATCTTACGGTTGTATGTGGCTACAGAAAAGCTTTCCAAACACCTGAAAACATTAGCACAATTTATTGTTAGGGTTAATGTGAAGGTGTGGTTTTTCTATAAAGGTATAATGGCAATTCTACAACTCAAGTTTGCATGTATGGCAAACAATCAAGCTCTTGAGGTACTTACCAAATAAATTGAAGGCCGTTGTCGATCCTGTAATCCAAAGAAATGTCTTTGCTCTCCATCCGGTAACCCTGCTCCAT